TACATTAAAACACAGATGTTTATACATGTAACTAACACTACCATATCCGGAGAATTGGACTGTATTGAAGAAATAGTATCGCTTTTTTTTTTGTCACTACTGATACCGGAAATAATTTAACTAATACAAGTGGTTTATATTAAGATGAAGTAATCGTAAATAAGATGATTTACACACACGCAACATAAAAAGCATCACGACAGCGGAATATAAACTCATATATTAAGGAATCTTGATTTATAAAAAGTAAAATTCATTTCATTTGTTAAAATAAGGTAGCAATGCTCAATAAATGTATAACTTGTATAATTATACTGTTAAAAGAAAGAAATATCGTTTTCTTACAATTTCATAGAGTATTATCTTTAAGGGCGCTCTCTACAACGTCACAACATGGCGTACTTTCGTTCGAAACGCCATTTTGGTCCGAAATGAACTGATTCTGTCCAAAACAAATTCACTGAACACCGATAAATCACTGGGTATAACATAACTTGCGATATGTGCACTAGCTCTATTGTGAATGGAATCTATCCCCTCGAGGCGACGAGAGTGACCAATGTAGACTTTTATTAAACATGAATCGTTTGTCAATATATTCAATTTCGAATCATTTATTCACAGACAATACGATTTATTAAAATAAAATATGATTATAAGTAATAAAAAGTTAATGTAATAAACCAATGCCTTGTCACCATGATATTTGATCATTGCGTGTCAAATCCACTTATACGTTTCCATAAAGTCCTAAATTGATGCTTCTCTACAAAAGCATATGCTTTCCAGAGAAATAGATTCTAAAATGCAAATTTAAACAGATAAAGCATATGTATCACATTCCCATTGCCTAGAGGAGACACCCTGTTCCCGACAAGTATACACCCCGCATGTGTGGTTATACCCGGTGAAATTGAAACTCTTCATGAAATCACCAAAACGCTTCATTAATAAGTGGAATTATATTAACTCAAACATACAAGTTGGATGAAAACGGTAAGTAAATCTACCTTTCGCAATACTATGAATTCACTTTACATGTCTTTGACCAGAAACTTGTGGGTCTCCGCTTAAATTCATTTAAAAACAATACAATACGAACTTCTTTCGATGTCCTGGTTTGCCATATACTTATTAATTCTTTTTTTAATACCTGTGCAAGTTTTAGAAGAATTAGATTAAATATATAAAAACCAATACCAAGATATTTGAGCCCACTCTCTAAACGGATCTTTCACACCTAAATTTTTGCGATGGTTAAAATTTTTGTCAGTTTTTCAATTTCATTCAATTTCTTATTTTCATCATTTTAACCCTTTGATATTGTATTTATTTTTCAGATTTTGGAGGAAATCCATCCAGCTCTTCTCATGAAAATGCTGTTTTAGTTTTTCTTTTGTCTATAATTGTAGATTCAAATTAAAATTATGTAGATTTCATTTACAACTTTGTTGGTTTTCATTTCAAGATTTTATAACATTAAACTTTGAATAGAAAATTAAAGCGTAAGGCTTTTAAAAATAAAGAATTAAGGGGTTTCTACAAAATAAATTTAATATTTTATGTAGATTTCATTTATAACTTTGTTGGTTTTCATTTCAAGATTTTATAACATTAAACTTTGAATAGAAAATTAAAGCGTAAGGCTTTTAAAAATAAAGAATTAAGGGGTTTCTACAAAATAAATTTAACGTTTTAAATATTTCCAAAAAATAAAGTTAAAAACTTTGGAGCTTTATTTTATTGGATATGGAGTCTATCATTAGAAACAAATGCATGAATCAAAAAATCATTTATACTTCATAAGTGTAGAGATCCTCCTTAATTGGATTTCAAAATACATTACATCATGTCATGAAATTGACATCAGAAATAAAATGGAAATTTAAATTTCTGTTTATAAATTATGGACATTTTATTTTTTCATCACAAAAGCAATACCCATTAACTAAGCATGGACAACTATCAACTCGTATCAGTACTTCCAGTACTTTGATTAAAAGAAACTTCAATTAGCATACAATGGTTACGTGACCGCGACTTTTCTTAAATCATTTATTCCAAACCTGGCTTCAGCGACAAACTTTGAAAAAATAAAATATTCTATGCGCAACTAGGGTTGGTGATTATTATTTCTGTAAAGTATCATAAAGATTTTGAAAGCCATCTACGAGAACGCTCGAGTACAAAACTACCATTAACCAAAATACGACTTCGTTCCGGTGGCTGTAGCGATAGACCTACTGTAATCGAATCCAATTTATTTTTTTTCGGAAACCACTTTGATACAGAAGGAAGAATAAATCTTTGAAGTTCCAAAAGATTGCTTGCGTAATAAATGAGAAAATTGAAATTTTAAAAAAAAATCACTTTTCGTCCATTTCCATGGCAACGGTAGGAATCTAGAAAATTTTGATTTTTGACTGCACACCTAGAGTTTCTAATAATAATTTATGTAAAGTATCATCAAGATTGTCCAAGCCAACTCTGAGAACATATGTGCACATCTTTCCTTTTTTCTGATTCGTTTCTATGGCAACTGTGTGCGACCAATTGCAGATTTTTTGAAAATAGCTATCACTTTGACACATTGCAAAGAAATATCCTAAAGAGTTTTAAAATGATTGCATGAGCAGTAACTGAGAAAATTGAAGTTAAAGAATAATCACTTTTCATCTGTTTCCATGGCAACAATGGGCAATTTGAAAACTTTAAATGCGAATCGCAAAACTACAATTACGGATCATCATTTCTCTAAAGTTTCATGACGAATGTCCAAAGAATCAGCGAAAACACTTCCAGACAAAATTCTTCACTTTTCGTACGTTTCCATGGCAATGGTAGCCATTTTGAAACTGAAAGTCTTCAATGCACAAGTACAACTAGTGAATGTCTTTTGTGGAAATTTTCAGCAAGATTGTGCCAGCCATCTGCGAGAACATCCCCGGACGAGGTTTTCATGTGTACAGTCGCAATTTGTCGCCCGACTTTGTTCGGGGCGACATAATAATTTGAGTAACATATAACTCTTAAAACACCCCTCCCCCTTCCGACCATTCAATTACAGCCTGCTTGTCCGCCATATACAATAATTGCAGCTCGATTTCTACGATGCATTAGGTTTATCAATCTCTTGATCTGAGCGAAAGAAATATTCTTAGGCATTTTTAAGTGCCTGTTTTTTCAGATACTGAGGTCGAATTTTCTCTAACCTGGCGCAGTGTAGTAACCCTTGGACTTCCGGTCAAAGAACTGTCATTCATGCTTTTGAAACGCATGAGCCTGATGAGTCGTTATGTAGTGCATATTTGCATCTGCAACTCTCTTTTACCTTTATTTTGAGAATTTCTAGCAAGAGCAATGAAAATACGTGCTTTCAGTCATTTTGAGGAAATTTTGGCATCACATCGGAAAAAGGAAGAAGGATTTTTTTCGGAATATTAGTACAATACTTCTGATTAACAACTACAAACCCTTGGACACCCAAATTGTCAAATGTTTCATTAAACATGCAATTTTTGTCACTGTTAAGAGGGCTCAAAATCAACTTCCGGTTATGGAATGAAAACCATTCAACCGTTAAATAACTGATTTGGCAAAGTTGAAGATGTCCTAACTTTTTAAGTACAAAGTTATAACCTGTATAATTATAATTTTTCCCCCTAAAATTAGGATGTTGCGTTTCTTTTGCGTTTCAGTATAGTTAAGTTTGCATGGTGATAGTGGCAAATTGGAGCAAGTACATAGATCTACTTTAAGATTTGTTACCGAGTACTAGACTTATTATTTTCTTGATCCATGATCATCCTCTTTCTCTTTGCTTTTGGGTAGCATAGCTTCATCTAGCAGTTTATTCCCTTTTAGTTATGATAATTCTATGAATCCTTTACAGTGTTGTATTATACTCAGGTGACCGTTAAGGCCCTTGTGCCTTTTGTTCGAATCCAGGATTTGATTTTATTCAGATTAATGATAATCATATTTAATTCCAGCATTTTATCCATTTCTTTAATTAAACAGATCTTATTTGAATGAAATCACATTAACGTATTGAAATAAATCTGCGTCTTTTCGGTTATTTAAAGATTTATGACATCATAGTGGTCATTAAAAAACCTTTCTATCTTGTCTTGTGTCAGGCTCAACTTTTGTTTTCATTGATTGGTTTGTTTTTCCTCTCTTTTGGTCTTGACTTATTTGAGCATCATTATTGAGATCTTGGTCTGACAGACATGTTGCTTTTCTCGTGAACTGGTTTATGCTATTTGTACTTTAGTGGAAACCTTGACTTGACCAAGACAGGACGGAATGCAAGTTTACCTTGACTTATTCCATTATCTCTATTTAAAGTCTGTTAATCTGCTATATTCCCATATATTAACACTTTAATGTAAAATAAGAAAGTTCAGTATGTGTGTTTATTGTATGATTACTGTAAACGTTCCTATCTAAGCGGAAATCATATATTTTAGCGCCTTTCTTGTTTTCTGTCCGCTTATTCATGTACAATGTAATTAAATGAATTAAAACTGACACATGTCATTATAAACATTAAGTGGGTTAAAATATCATTCCTATACTTTTGATTTGTTTGACACAAGGTCACCTGCAAATCTGAAATCAAAATAAGACAAGGAAAGTAGTTTGAATCATTTGACTAAACTTAGTAATCTTTTTCTCGATGTTTGCTACATTTGCCTCTAAAATGAAGAGTATTGTTTGAAAAGTTTCCTCGTCAATGTTTAACCTTTAACTTACTACAAGTTACAAAGCCTGGTATATAACAACTGAAATATTGACAAGATGTATCAGTTAAAACGTAGGGGGAAAAAAGGAAAAACTTTTAAGATTGAAAGCCAATGAGACCAAGAAGTAAGTTCAAGGTCATCTTAAGGCAGGAGCATAATTATCGATGCAAATGTCCAACATAGGTTCAAAAGAAAGCTCAGACACAAAAAATTGAAGTTACTGCATTTATCTTTATTTCAAAGCTTGCACAGATACACATTTTGACAGTTCACTCGTGATAATCATCATTTCAAGTTTCAACATTTACTCTTTTCTGCAAGTTGTTGTTTGCTATCCTTTGAAGGTCTGAAATGAAGATAACACCTAGCATAAAACCGATTAAACCGTATCCTAATGTATATCCTATCCCTCTGGAGGATATCCTGTAGTCAGGTGCGCTGGTTTTAGACCTCCAGTATGAGCTTGTAACATTTTTGTGTATTTTAAGTTCCTTTGTGAGCTGTGATATTCTTTCCTTTAGATAATCTATGGACATATTCGTTGACACATGATTTGTTGATGTACAACCACAATCTACAATAAAATCAGTCTTTCTTGCGCTCTTTATGTTAATTTGCTGAAGAAAAACATGAATATATCATTGTATGGTGAAATGAGCGTTTGAGAGTTTTTTTTTATTTAACACTTTCCTTCGGAGTGTTTTTGCTCAAGTATTTCTGAGGTAGTGCCTGATATATGATCAAGTGTAATTAAGCCTTTGAACAAATGTTACTATGATGGCACATGTAAAAAAAAGAATATAGAAAAAATCCATCTTTTAAATCTGAACAAGGACAAGGATTTATTCAGTAAGAATAAAATCTTGTATCAGCTTTGGTCTCCAATTTTAGAGAGATCTATATGGATATCGCTTACAGATTTATTTCACAGAAAGGCCAAAAGCTGAGTAAATAAGTATAAGGTTTCACGTGTAAAGTTATACTTTGTATATTTATAAGACCTGCTCTGGAATCAAAAAACACTTTGGGACAATGTTTTGCGCCCGCTTGCGTGGGTTTGTGCTTCGAAAACGTTTTATATTTTCGACCTGTAAGACGCTATTTCACATATTTCACATGCAGGAAAGAAACCCTTAGCAGTTTTTATACCTGTACACACAGGGGGTTCACCATCCCATACCCGACCAATCATGCACGTGCGAGTCAGATTGCCACCTGTCAGAAGGAATCCAGGTTTACATCTATACGTTGTTATACCATTACATGATTTATCTTCCGTAACCAAATCCGTATTGTTGAACTCTCTCATTTCACACTCTGTATCTTTAAAAGAAAGTATATTTAAAAGAAAGTAATTAGTTATCTGAAAATGATAAGCAAAAAATGGAAGAAAACAAAAATTTCTATCCACAGTGTAAAATTATTATCTCTAAGTCAAATCAAAAATTCCAATCAAAAGGAATTATAGATCTAGAATTATACACATTATCAAAAACTACAATTACCATCAACAAATCTCCAGACACTTTTGTGATGCGTCATTACAGCAAAGTAATTTACTTCATAAGACCCGGGTTTGGTTTCGGAGAGCATGACGATCCCGGATGACTTTGGTCCTTTTCCTACATAGACATGATCATTGTCCCAACTGACCCAGAACTGAACAAACATTGAACCATCTAAAATACCTGGGGTACTGACTTTTTTACATTGAACACTTTGTGCTCGAATACATGACTCTGTATTGTGCCATCCACCGATAACAATCTCATAAAACTGGCTATAATTGATTCTCGGCGTGGAAGTGTCCTCGGTCATCAGAGCAAAATGGACATCCGTTGTAGAATTTACCCAGAATTCTATGTGAGATCGACCTTGAGCACTTATACAATAGAAACTCATCTGTTGGTAAGTTTCATTTGATGTCAGTTCAATATCAGCAGCTGTCATCTCTACAAAAAGTTACACGTTTATATTTACCAGACATTTCTGCAAAGATAGATATGTAAAAAAAAAAAAAAAAAATCAAGAAAACCTTTTCGTTGTTTACAGTTTTATTTACAGATATAAATATAAAACTAGAAAGTCTGCTATTACAAGCAATACCGAACTGAACTATAAGCTAAAAGATTCTTCAATGCTTAAATAAGTGAGCATTGGTAGAAAAAGACGCCCCTTTCACAGACAAACGAAGCACGTCACGCTTGCTAGCTTTTGTCAAAGTTCCAGAATCGAAAATGGAGCTTGCGGAGTCGTGCAAGGTTCACGTCCAAACATGGCTGAAGCAAAATAATTCCTGAATTTTCCTCTTCAATTCGGGCATTTCTGCATTAGACAGGGGTTGATTTTTTTTTTTTTTTTTTTTGAGATGATAACCTATGTGTAAATTTTCTAGGTTAGCAGAATCATGAACATTTACGGTGTGCTGAATGTTTGTGTACAGTAGTGATGAGGCCTTCACGCACCTATGGGAGCGGACCCCAGGATTTTCAAATTAATAAAAACAATGGAAATTAAATAATTCTTAATATCATTGAATGAAATTATTCATATGCAAGTTATACATTCACTTGAATACGCGGAATTCTAATAAATGCAGCTGACAATCGCTATTTTTTAAAAAGATTAATTAATCTTAAATAAAATAATTATAAATTCTATAGACAAAAGAGAAGAATGAATGCTGGCAAAATACTAGTATCACGCAGATCACATCAGCGAAATTTAATTTTATTAATGACACTCTTAAGATCTTCTCTGTCAATTGTAAATTTTATATCTGCGTAGTCAACTAAGCTGTTTCGAGGGGGGGGGGGGACTTGAAAATAGACATATGTTATATAACCATCATTTTGTATTCTATACAACCCCTTTTATTTAATAAAAACTCGTTGTTAAAGCAATAGGAAGGTTTTTCCGTCTCTTCTCCGTGACGAGAAGGTGTACCTCTACATTTCGTACCATGTGTTTTACTCTAGTGCAGTCCCCGTAATGAAACTACATACATGTACATAAAAATAAAATGAATAGTTTGTAGTGTTTAAGAGATGTTGGTCCTACGTTTTTGGAAATTCTATGATATTTTCTTCTTAATCATATAAAGAAAATTGTAATATATAAAAGCATCATAGATGGGCCTTTACGTGCCCTAGGAATTTTAAAGAAAAAAGAAATTAGAAAGACAAAGAAAATAAATAATTTATAGCTTTAAAAAGATCAAAAAGATTGGTTTAAAAGTTACTGAGAAAGATGAAATTAAAAAAAAAATTTTGTCAGTTTCCATGGCAACAGGGGTCATTTTGAAATTTTTGAATAAAAATTGTACATCTTTAGTTGGTGATCATTACAACAGTTAAGTTTCAAAAAGATGGACAAAGCCATCTTTGAGAATTGTACGGACAGCGTTATTGGTTGAATAATAGCAATATGTCTCCCCGACTTCGTTCGGGGTGACATAAATAAATATTATGGTGAAGCGAAAGTATTATATAAGTGTATATAAAGTAGCATAGATTTTCTGTTCCCCAAAACATCGTGTAAAAATACTTTTAATTGGTAATTTTATACAGGCAGGAACATCAGCGATTGACGCAAGTTATAAAATCATTCAAAGTGAAATGTAAAGTTTTAACTCACCTCTGATATGACGAAATATTTCTAATAACCATAGAAAACCCTGTAGTCGGAGTAACATCCTGGATCATTCAAAACATATTACGTAGATCTGAAAACATACAGTTAAATGACTCCTTGGAAAATCTCCAGATGTTCACATCTATATCCTAATAATTATTTCAAAAACAAAGAATTTCCAATCACTTTTCATCGACATCAAAACCACTTACCATGCAAAGGGTAAACATGTTTGTTAGAAAATTAAGTATCATATTTAAGCACGCGATTACATTTTAATTAATGGAAACTGTATAAAACTGAGTGAAACATTACGTTTCATGGAGTTCAAAAAGTAAATAAAGATCAGAATCATTATATCTGTGAATAGAGTATGTAAATATCGAGCAATGATTACTCTCTCAGGCAGTCAGATTACATCCAAAACCTTATTACATGCTTCACTTTTTTGTGACCATGTTAAGGATTTTTTTTTTTTTTTTTGCAGCACATTGAGATATAACACAAAAAAGTTAGGTTTTCTTAGAGCATAAAGTCTTTGTCATAACTCAAACACCTCCTAGTTTACAAAAATCGTTAGCTTGTTTGATACTTTAATAATTAGGAGATTTATAAATTGACAGACTGAGAGGAGTAATATTACTGTTGAATTGCACCTATTTATTTCCCATCATATTCTTCCATTGTTAAGCAAGGATCGTACAAATCAAAAAGATACTAGATGCTGTCAGTAAAGCCCGCACATAAGTGTTTGCCACTAAATGTAAGCTCCTTTCATACCTGGGTAACTAGTGATTATTCTATAATTTTCGCAAAAATACAACATCAAATTGGGAATACAAAACTCATATGAGCCTATGGCCCATGGGCCTCTTATAGTAGATTTTCATGTAAAAAATCAAATACAAATTTGAAATTTAATGAAGCATCTGTTTAAAATGAGTTTTGGAGAACAGTTTTTGTTAAAGAAAATCTTTTAAATTTGCCCCCCCCCTTTCCAATTGACTTACTGAATGAAAATGGAATTCCCAAAACCTTATTGAAAATTTACAGGACACGGCCAGTCATATACTGAAAGAAGAATTGCCTACTATAAAATTCAAGAGGAGTTCTAGAAACATGGTTTTGAAGAAAAATGTCGTGTTTTCCCCCAAAATGCCCTCTCTACGAAAAGAAAAATTCTGAAACCTAGCAGCGCATCTACAAGACACTGCCAATCATATTTCAAAGATGTCTTAAAATGTAAGAGGAATTTGAGAGGAGGATTATGACAGGCGGACCGACCCGTTTCAATGAGATATACCGGTTTATAATCATGGAATCCTCATGAGCTGAAATAAATGCATGATTGCAAAATTCACTTGATACACGGTTTTTTTTCCTTTCATTTTAAACTATCATAAAGTTAATTTTGTTTACCTTTTCTTCAGTTGAATGGTCTTTTTATCCACATCTAAACCACAAAACAGTATTCAATCAATTGGTAAAGAACCACTTTCTGCTAACACAAGAGATGATGTGCCAAACTGTATGTATCGACTTATCAGGATTTCAGTACTATTGTACTTGTGAGTCAATTGTTCGTATGAAGTGGGTAAAAAGATTTTTTTATCAAAACCAAATAATCAACAACAGCATCAACTGACAATTATTTAAACAATAAAAAAAGCTTTCTTTGTTAGGTTGCGACAATGCAGAAAAAATACAGAACACGCATACATAAGAGAGATATTTTATTGCTTATATATACATATAAATTATTCGTATAAGGTGGTTCAATATACTGAAATCATTGTATCATTGATCCGTTCTTTACCTTGCTTGAAGAGTCCCTTTCTAAAGAAATTTGCGGTTTAAAAGAAAGGGTTCTAACTAGAGCTAATCTAGAGTTAATCGACTGATTAACAGCAATCGGTTTTCATAAAAAAAATAAAGAAAATATTCAGTGGATGTAAATATACTTGCATACCGTATATACTCGTTTTTTGGGAGTTAAACTTTGGTCCAAAAATCTTTGTCCGACTTATAGGCGAGTTATAAAAAGATTGGTTTTAGCGGGTCAATCCCTCTAATATAAGCTTTAAAATACAACCGACTTACAGGCGGACCGACTTATAGACGAGTATATACGGTAATTGTGTTTTCGAACATGGCTATTGATGTAAAAAATTCTACTTATTGTTAATATTGGATTGAATCAATCTGTCTAATTTGCATATAACACTAGAAGTGTCGTTTAGAATCAGGGTAATACACTGCAATGTTAATACAGGCAAATCAATAACTTGAACTTCATTTCTCTGTCGTCTATGCAGACGAGATTACAAAGAATCATTCCTTCATTTCAGCTATTAGTTTGAACATATTTTATTGACATTTATAATACAAAGGGATCGAGCACAAGTTCTGAAAATTTATTAGGCCCTCTCCCTACTTGTACATTACAAAGCGAGCGAAATGCCTATGGAGCGACAAATGAAGATAAAAAATTAAATTTTAATAATAACAAAATTTTCTTGGATATTTCTTCTGACATTAAAGTGTACTTTATGTAAAATCTCCACAATTTGCAAAAATCTCACAAAGATTGAAATTATTTGTCTATGAAATAGCATACACACACAAAAGAGTGCAAAAAGGATCATTTTCTCATAACACAATTTTTCCATATGGGTGGATCTTCGCTCCATTTGTTTGAAAGTTTATCCTCAAAGAATGCGTAAAAATATACATTTTTGAATAATAAAAACATGGAGCAAGGACCCACTATACTTTAAAAATACTCTTTTATGATACATCATTCGTATATCTCCGAGAAATAGTTAATTTAGTCAAGGGTCATATCAGAGACATGCTTTAATGAAAGATTTGTCAATAGTTGTATAGCGTAGTGGTTAGCGTGTTAGTCTCAAAAGAAAATGATACTCCGGATTTATTTGTTTGGGTTCGAACTCCAAGAATAACACATTATCTTTTTTAATAATAGAATAACTTTTGTCGATAAAATTTCCGCAGAAAAGTTTTGTTTGTCATGATTTCATAAATTTCAATGATAAGAACTGAACTCTAACTACTAAATTCACAAATTGAATAGGATTTTTATATGTCTGAAGCTATAGGCATTCTGTGCGCCTTGTTCGACCATCTTCTTTTCTCACAGTTGAACACAGTTAAGTTATACAATATTTAGAAAAGTTACAAGTCAATGCATTTTCAGCTATTCTTTCCATTATGAATGCTCATATGTACGATGGCCGACATCGGACGCCACTTTCCGATTAAGAATATTGTCATTTTGTAAGCGTTTTTGTCAAATT